ATAGGAAATACAAGGGAAGGTAGCTATCACACAGAATTTGAATAAAATCAATATAGTCAGCCTAATTTAACTAGGTATTTATCTCTTTGAATAAGATTATTTGGTTTCAAAACTTGTTTATTGCAGATAGGGTGGTCAAAGAGAAATCCTGGTTGGATGAGTTGGGCAGGCCCTCTTTGCCTCTTCTTTTTCTTCTTCTTGAGCACTAGTCTCTCTGTTTTATTGAACGTGAACTATAAATGAAAGTCATCCTCTTTCAGGAGGCTGACTGTTACTTTGCCCAGTTGAGCAAACTGCTCCATCTTTGACACCATAAGAAAATTCTATTGCGGCTGAACTTCTTCCTAATAACTTTGTTACTGAATGATGAAGGCACTGACGAGTTTTTACTAGTTATGCCATCATATGTGAGAGATTTTGGGGAAACTAAGAATATTGTTTAATCATACACTCAGCACAGGATCTTTATAAGGCATTATTATGTTATAAAAATAAAGCTATGAAGTAATTTGCATTTTTGGTGCTTTGGCTTTCATAACTAACACGAGTGTATCTCTAATACTCTCAATTCTAGCAATAATAATTACATTGCTTGGGAATTTATACACACACACACACAAGATTGTATAGACTTTGTGACTTTTTGTAGCATGTGAAATTTAAGGACATACAATTTAAATAATTGTGAAGAAAATTGCTGTATGGAAGTATCTTCAAATAAGACTTACTCAACAATTTAACCCCCATTTATGGTCTAAGGTACATTTTGATTGATTATATGACATTGAGTTGGTGTTGATTCTTAGCAACGACATAGACAGATCTTCTCCAGGATGACTAATTAAAATACATTCAAGTAAAGATGCTGCTTAGTACTCCCACAACTACTTTTTTGCTTGTTTAAAATAAACCTCCTCAATGTGGAACAGATGCATAATGCATTTTAATCTATAGTACTAGGAGCTATCCACTGGAAGCTCTATTAGTCAGTTGAACTCATTGAATTGCATTACACCTTATTTACTCATAAAGCATATTTTATCTTCCAGCTTATTGTACAGCCCCACTACATTAATATAATCCTTATTCCCTTTGTTCCCATTGTCCTTTCTTAACTCCCAGTTTTTTAAATATCTTTCAGTTCTTTTTGTTGAAATGTTATGTATTGTATATAATCGCAAATAAGTTGAGAATTTTAGGCACGAAAATGCACCCCAAAAATTGGGTTCACCTTATCCACGGGTGGACTTATCCACGAGTATATACGGTAATACTTTTTAAAACTATCCGTATATCCTGTATATACTTGCGTATAAGCCCATCTACAGATAAGCTGACCCTCGAATTTTTAACCAACATATCAAGAAAAATGGATAATAAAAAAATATACCACCTGTGGATAAGCCAGTTGTGAAAATTAAAACATATGAAGATTTTGAATGTCGGCTTATCTGCAGGTGGCACATTTTTAATGGATGTAAGCCTACTGAATCCAGATTAAAACACTAGTCTCTGTTTCTGTTTTAAAAGATAGAATTTTATTATATGCCTTGTATAAGATATTGTACACTCAGAGATTTCATATATATTTAAGAAGAAGCATTATATTTTAAAAATATTTTTATATATTTTTTCCTCTTGGAAAGGTATTAGTGCTATATTGCATTCAAACCTTGGTTATGTACAGCAACTAATTTTATTATTCTTTCAGTAACACTTCTACATGAAAATTCTGGGAGAGAGAATCTGGAGAGATAGATTGAACAACTATATTCTGATACTGCAAACCTTACCTCTCCATTTCATTTAATTCAGTTTGGCCAGGGACTATTCTGAACCAGTGCTTGGGCATCCTAATATACTTCATTAGGTCAATAAATAAAATAAGAGAACATTTATCTTGTGTAGACTGAGTTTAAATGTTCTCTTATTTTATGTATTTAATTTTTATGTACAGTATTATATAAGTTGCCACAGTCCCAAAGGACCTTGAGTAGTATACAGTAAGAATGCAAAACAAAACAGAAAAAAGAAAAAGGACACACAGCTTATTAAAATAGTAATAAAAAAATAAGAAGATAGACACCCATTTATTTATGAAATGAAACTGATTTGTTTATGGAATGTTAACAAAGTGGAAGCTGCACATACTTATGGGTGAAAGTATGCTGCTATCTTGCCCACACCCAATGTACTTCACAAAGAGGGGGGATTTTGAGCAGGACTCCTCTAGTTAATGACTGAATGAGCACATTTAGTCTGGCAAGCATTGCCGATATATCCTGGTGCTTCAGTGTGCAGGGTTTTAACAATAATATTCCAGGAGCATTGGCGACCAAATTAATGACTTTAATTTAGGTGTAATTCTATGTTGTCAGGGTTTTTCAGCTATGAGTTTGCTGCATTTTTGCGCTGCTTGTAGCTTATAGATTGTCTCCAAAGAATGTACCACATGCATCATGTTTCAGTTGTCTAGTTGGGTGGTGATCAAGATACGAGTTATAGATGTTAGGACATTCTGGTCCAGGTTGGGTCATAACTGGCACACCAGCCAAAAGTGGGAGAAGAGTCCTTGTGACTTTCTCTACCTATTGCTTGAGCAGAAGCTGTGAATCCAGGAGGGCCTCCAAGTCATGGTCCACTTCTTTTAGGGATAGCACAACCCTGTCCAGAGTGACTACCAAGTCTGCTGTTATCAGAGTGCCCAGAGGCTTACTAGCAACTATATCTTGGTAGGCTTTAGTCTGAGTTTATTTTGCCTCATCCAGATTCCTACAGTCTTCAGACACTGATTCAAGACTTTCATTGTATCCCTGGTTGGGGCGGCCTTACTCCAGGCTGATGAAGAATTCCTTGCAGTGATTTCATGTAGATGTTAAATGACATGAGGGAGAGCCCTGAGCCTTATGGAACTCAACATTGGAACTCCAATTGGCTTGAGCACTTCCCTTCCACATCCATCAACTAAAACACTCAGATAAGAAAAGAACCACTATAAAACAGTGCCCCCAACTCACAACTCTTGAAGGCGATGCAGAATTATACCATAGTCAATGGTATTGAATGCTGCCAAGAGGTCTAATAGGACCAAGAAGGGTGTACTCCTCCCATCTAAGTCCCAGTGAAAGTCATGTACCAGACCATCTAATACTGTCTGTGCCTGAATCCTGTCTGAGTCTTCCAGGATCCTCTGTAAATTGTTCCCTACCATCTTCTCAGCAATCTTTCCTAAAAAAGGCAAATGTTACCTAAATGGCTGGGTGCAAGTTTTATCTTTTCCTGTAAAGAAGCATTAATAACCTCCCAGATCTAGCTATTCATGCCTTGCCTAGTCATCCAAAGAAGAAAAGAGAAGCATAGATCAAGCCTGGAGGTTGCAGAGTTTAAACTACAATGAACCCTATCTACTTCTCACACAAGTTCAAAAGTGTACCCCAGATTATACTACGTGAATCTACTTCACTCTGCCCAACTGGCATCCAACCCAGAGTGAATATGAGTGACTATCTGCCAAGGAGCCCACAAATTCATCTGGCATATCTACAGGAGTTTTTACCTGCCTGTCCTCCTGCAAAAAGGCCTGAATAACTGTGAATAAGAACCAGTTTGGTGTAGTAGTTAAGGCACCAGGCTAGAAACCTGTGAGTTCTAGCCTGCTTTAAGCCATCTGGGTGACCTTGGGCCAGTCATTGTCTCTCAGCCCTAGGAAGAAAGCAGTGGCAAACTACTACTGAAAATCTTGCCAATAAAACTACAGGGACTAGTCCAGGTAGTTGTCTGAAGTCAACACTGACTTGAAGGCACAAAAAGCAAAAACCCACAAAAGCATACACACCCTGAACAAAACTGCTGGGCAGGAATCTGCAGATGCAATAAGTGCAGAGAAGAAAAAGGGTTTTCTACCCTGGAGGTCTTTGTTACTGGGTGGTTATTCTGCTTGACTGGGTGGTGATTAAAATATTCTTTGGGGGGGGGGTATATTTCTGTAAAGAATTAGACTTGGAATTTGGGAATGTTAGATTTAAGTGTCACTAGAAGAGTTCAAAGGATTCCACTTTAATTAGTTTAGGTGGATATGCTGATTAAGACCCTTTCTGGACAAGGAATTTTGTTACAGTTATCCACCCTTTGGTAATCTTCTAACTAGATTACTGCAGTGGAGCTGCTCTTCAAAATGGTCCAGAAACTGAAGAAATTGAATCTGAAAGGAGGTTGGATATTTCAGCAAGACAACGATTAAAACATTCCTCCAAATCAACCATGAAGCTCTTCCAGGAAAGAGAAGTAAAGGTTTTGGAAAAGCCTTCATAGTTCCCAGACTTAGAGATTATTAAAATATGTGGGGAGATCTCAAATATGCAGTGCATTTAAAGGGGGCTAAGAATATTTCTGAGCTAGAAGAGTTCTGCAAAGAAGAGTCGGGTGGGGGAGGGAATCCAAAAGCAACAATAGAAAGACTCTGGCTATAGGAAACATTCGGAAGCTATTATTTCTGCCAACAGAGCTATTACAAAGTACAAACTGAAAATGTATCCAAATTTTTGCACCTGCCATATTCACTTTTCTTATTTTGAACTTGTAAATAACTCCATGCAAATAGTGAGTATGCACTGAAAGAACAGGGTTCCTCAAAGTGGTCAAAATCGACCCCAAAAGGTCAATGGGACTATCCAAGTGGTCTATTATTATGGTTGATCGCACAGTCAGCCAGATGTTTAGATTGGATTTGACATTTTTGTCCACCTATCGAGTCCTTCCCTGGGATAAACAGATGTTACTATTATTATTATTATTAATATTATTATTCATAGTACTGTTAATTAAAGTTTTATTAAATTAATTTCATATAATATTTGGGGGACAGTGTACAATCTGAAACTTCGTGAAGGGGTCAATGAGCTGAAGAGTTTGGAGACTCTTGATGTAGAAGTTGCATCAATGCTGTTCACTTAGAAATTCTCTGCAACAAATATATAGAAATACTACTCAAAGTCTTTTTGTATTTAGTTTTTCTCCAGTTATATAAGGGACTATTTGGCCCCCACTTTTGAGTTGGATGGTGTGTGTCTATTTGTCTTTTATTTTTGTAACAATCAGATTTGATATATTGTTTTTCACTGACCATATGAGTGTGTGAGAATTAGATACCGTAGCTCCTTTCCTGTGCAGCAGGGTGTCCTTAGAGGTAAGATTGGCCCCTTTTGGAAAGCTTGTCAGACCTGACTATTTTGAAGGTGGGAATTGAAGGGTGGAATGAATTATAATGTGATCTTGGCTGAGAAATGGTGCTATGGATATTGTATTTTGAGTTGTCATTGTTTTTATAATTGGTGTTTGATTGTATTGTTTGACTTTTGTAAGCTCCTCAGAGTCAGCCAGATTGAAGTGGTATGTCATTGAAATAATACATGCATACATACATACGTACTGTGACGTATATGAAAAAGGCAAATTGTAACACTAATATCTGTTTTATACATTGCAGATTGCTTTTACTAAAACATTTGTGCAGCATTATGCTTTTATTATGAAAACACTGAAGAAAAGCCATGAATCTGATACAATGTCTAACAGAATTGTACACATTAGCGTTCAGCTATTCAGCAATGAGGAACTAGCACGTCAAGTGACAGAAGAATGCCAGCTGCTTGATATTATGGTTACTGTCCTTCTGTATATGATGGAGAGCTGCCTTATTAAAAGTGAGCTACAAGGTGGGTTCAGATCTTGCTTTATGATAGCTTTTCTCACAATGCTCTTCAAAATTGTTGGATTTCACTTCTAGTAAGTCCATGCTGGATGGAATTAAAGAATATTCTGTTAAGAACATGGCAAAGCATGTTCTTAATAGAATTACGAACTTTCCTTTTGATGGGAAGGGATTTTCCTCTGTCAGAATTCTAATATGAGCTGGATAGGATTAAAAAGGATTATAGCTAAGTATGGCTATAATCCAGCCCCATTCTTTTTCATCATATTGCTCATATCTGTAGCCCCATGTCTTTCCATCCCTCGTGAGCTTGCAATACCAGAAGCAGAATCATTTTTTACTAAAATATTATCAGTAGCAATTTCTTTCTCAGCATTGCCCACTTCACATTCTTACAGATATGAACATAGAAGACCTGTGGATTTTTCCAGATGTTGCTTTTAGCTGTTTACTTGTTGTTATCGTCAGTCCTAATACTCCTTTTGGGGACCATCTCAAGCATTTCTCTGATTGCTGGCATTTATTAGAGATGATGTCTGGGTATTTGCCATTACCAAGCAAGGATATTTAGTCAAATTTTCCTGTGAACTTCTATTGACTACTATGGTTATTCCTCCTTCTCTCATTTGGGTTAGTTCCATAATCTTGAAAAGGATGCTATTAAATCTACCCAATTCATTGATTGGTACCAAAAGGGTCTACTCTAGCTATTCTGTGGTTACTGAAGTAGAATAACAGCCTCTTTTCTATCCTCTATTTCTGAATGTCCTGAATATATGGTTTACTTTTGTAGATCTTTTCTGACATGCACTTCCATGTTGCCATTCAACCAAAACTTTGTTAGTTTCTGTTATTTATGTGTGAGGACCTTCATTATTAATTTTAGGTGCTTCATTTTGGACTTTTGACAGCAGCACATGTTTTCACAAAGAATATACCCTTCATTGTTATATATCTGTAGTTTTCAAGGAACTTCTGTGTTCCCATACATCAGTGATTTGCTCCTTGTTGCAAGAACCAATCATATCCATTTCCATTTCCACTGTTCCCAGTCCTCTTTGGAACTGGGCAGAGAGATCACCTTCACCGATGATAACAATTATTCCAGTTGTGCTTACCTTCTGACAGAAAGAATAACCTCCTTTGCTCATGACATGTTGTCTGCATGGACATCATGGATAGAACATATTTATGCCTGCAGTGACCATAGTGGTGGCCTGTGCATACCTTCACTTATAAACTTTGCAGTCCTGATTACTTACATCATTTCTTCTCTGGACTCACCACTATGATGGCAAATTCAGTCTCCCCACTGTTTGGGGAGATCTACATATACTTTAACTACAGATGTCATGCAGAGCTGGGGAATTCGTTGAAATCAGTGTCAGGAAATGCACTCAAGTAAATGTTCTGAAATTATTGGCAGTTTATAAGGGCCAGCAAACTTTAATTTCTCTTCTACATGCAGTTGAATCTTGTGCAGATGGATGGCACCACAGTTGTCAGTTAACAATCAGGTTGGAAGGATTCACTTTCGAGCCCTCAACATTAGCTTTTGGAATTGGTGCCTACAAAAACACTAGAATTGAGAACAGTATTGTCAGTGATCTCAGTCACACTAGGGAAGATATCCATGAATTCATGCCAATGTTCTTGCAAATCTTTTTTCTGTTGGGGAATCTCATTGATCTGTTTGCTTGCCAAACACAACTTGCACTGCATTCTTTGTGGAGTTTAATGGGCTGTATTTTAGAAGCCTCATCTTTAAGGTACAGCTGCGTGTCTTGCATATCATCCTAATTACTTTGTGGTAGTTGAGACAATCTTGACTTCTTCATGTCCAATGGGATATACAGTGGTACCTTGGGATACAAACTTAATGCGTTCCGTGACTCTGGGCGTATCCCGAGTTGGTCGTAACCCGACGCAAATTTCCCCATAGGGTTCAATGTAAATCCGGTTAATCCATTTGGTCGTCCCCCGAAGCAAATTTTCCCATAAGGTTCAATGTAATTACCGTTAATCCGTTCTGGCGTCTGCGGACCACGCGTCAGGGGTGGGAGAATGGCTGGGCGCGGCGTGGCGTGGCACAGCGGGACAACGGCCGGGCGCGGCGTGGCGGGAGAACGGCTGGGTGCCGCGCGGCACAGCGGGAAAACAGCCGCGGACCATGTGTCAGGGGCGGAAAAATGGCCGCGGACCACGTGTCAGGGCGGAAGAATGACCGTACCCCAAGGCGGAGTTTGTACATCGAGGTAAATTTTTGCGGCCGGAGCTGGTCATAACCCGAAAAGTTCGTTAGTAGAGGTGTTCGTATCCCGAGGTACCACTGTACAGGTAGACCTTGCTTATTGACTGGCTTGTGCAGCGATCGTTTGAAGTTATGACAATGCTGAAAAAATAACTTTGCGACCAAGGCGCACATTTACAACCTTCACAGCGTCCCTTGGTCACGTGATTGCTATTACAGTCAGTACATATTGTCCTGTGTCTGACCAGTTTTTTTTTCTTTTTTTCCCCCCTCATAAAGTGGAGAGGTTGGAGAGGAAGGGATTACAGGAGAATAAGCAGGCACACAATGGAGAATACACATCAAAAGGAATGCACTCATGCCAGTAGCCATGAATGTGTTCCTTTTGATGTGTATTGATAATGTGCTTCAATCTTTCACTAAAAAAAAAAATACTATTTTCTCTTACACAAAATTCTAATAGGAATTCCTTTAAGAACAGTTATATCTGTATTATCAACCTTCATTCTTGTATTAAAATGACGCTGCAAAACCTGATCCCTTGTCTTCTTCCTGACAAACTGTACCAAAACATCCCTTGGAACATTTCTTGTTCTGGCAAATCTGGAATTTATTCTATATACTTTGTCAGTTTCTGCCTCAGTATCTTCCTCTTCCCAATCCAAAAAAATTGCCAGAGCTTTAATAATCCTTTCTCTAATACCTTCATCAGAATTCTCTGGGATTGTGCTAAGTTTCAAGCAAAATTCCGTCTCTCTTAATTCCAATAGAGCTAGATTATCTAATTCTCTTTCCAACTCTCTATCTATAACTTCTGTCTTACTTTCTAAAATTTCCGCTTTTACTAACTTGTTTACCTCTCCAGACACTTGTTTTACCGAGCTTTCCATCTTCTTAATTTCTTCTTTCATCTCCTCTTTCATCTTTACAAGCCTTTCATCCATTCTCTTTTCAAAAGCTGTCAGTTTAGCATGAAGTGGTTTAGTCAGTTTAGTACCAAGTGATTCAGTCAGTTTAATATCAAGTGATTCTGCTAATTTATTTCCCAATTCCTGAAACATTTTCTGAAACAAATCCGGTGTAATTCCTCTCTCTGCAGGCTGCTCTAGAGATCGTCTCCTCTCCGTTCTCGCTGCTTTTCTAGTTGTCATTATAATTGTAATCGAAAAGGGAAGGTGTCTACAAGAGGAAAAAAAAGAGTAGCTCCCCCCCCTTTTTTTCTCTCTTTTGTCTTCCTGTGACTTTAATACTTTCATTTGTAATGGCACTCCGTAGTTTCAGTCCACATCCCAATCCACATCTCCATGGCTATGGTCAGCACCACAGTCTGGCTCATATTACCTTTATCTTTTGTTTTGTAAAATCAGCCAGCTGTCTGCACTCTTTAATAATAAACAGAAAACCTTCACATGAAGGTCTGGTCCATTTGTCCAATTTAATTCCAATTTATTCAAAAGCACTTTCACGAAAAATTCATGTTTCAAAATAACTGGCCCCTTTATCTGTTTTAAACTTTCTTATGTCAGCTCCTTGTTAAGCTTTGTGCCGGAATTTTTTAAAGTCCTTAGAATTCTTTTCTTCCTTTATTCTTTTGTAATCCAAAAAGAATTATAACTCACCAAGTGGATTCTTATCCTGCTGCTTAGAAAATCCCTCTTTAACCGTAAATTAATTACGTCCAAAGGTGGTTAAGAAATGAGGTGGCTGAACTTTGTGTCCATATAATAGGCTGCAATTACTGCTATGAGCTTGATTGAGTTTTTTCGACTCCCAGCCACTCAACTCATGAGCTGACCACAAGAACCTCAGTTTCTGTGGTCTATTTATGAGCAGCAGCTGTCCGGAGTGCAAGTAGGCAATCTCAGGATCTCTCCTTTATCCAGAAAGACTTGTGCCAGCTGATCTCCGCCAGTCCGGCCACCGATTCCACTCTAATGCTGTCCCCACTCCTTCGAGGATATCTAATAGTTAGTCCTCTCTGGAAGCATTGGTGACTTTCCACATGCAGAAAATGGTGGACAGGCTTTTGTACATGCATAAACTATACATTTTAAGGATTAGTGTTAGGTTATCTATTCAGAGTATCTGTATATGCTTCTTTTCCTCAGTTGAGCACAATGGCTTTCTCTGGATCCACTCAATCATGAGGCTCCATGTAGCTTTCTCATGACTGTCTGAGGAAGGAGGAGGACTGCTGTGAGGAAGCCTTGTGGAGCCTCATGACAAGGCTGACCCAGCAAGATCCACCGTAATTGAGTAGAGATATTGCGCAGACAACTCCTATGGGAGAAAGTCTCAAGGAAGGAAGCAGCTGACCATAGACTCTGTAGCCTAACCCTCCAATTCCCATTGACCCAAGATCTCATTATTCATGGTTTTGTTAACTGCAATTTTACAGTGAAACAGAACCTATGGATAAAGGGTGGTTTGAAAGTTCATTATAGAAAATAAGTAAATGTATCTTTTCTGCCTGGTCCCAGAGGCAAGTCAAGTGCTGGTAACTAGGTAAGTGGTAGTTTATAGGGCCACCTGGCTTGTGTGCAGTTCTGTAGCATGTTACAGAAGTGGGATCTTTAAGCCTTTTCCATCCAATTATTCTTTATGTCCTGAAAGCCATAACACTATTCTCTTCTTTTTTTCCACTGGGGCTTGAAAAGTCAGAATCTGCTTCTAATAAAAAGAGAAAGAAAATGTTACACAAGTTGCTCACTTAATATGTAGGAACCCTATTACAAAGAGGTTTACTTCTATATTATTGTTAGAGTCTTTATCATATTTTTATGTCTTTAAAATATTATTAACATTTGTTTTTACTTTTAGATGAGGAAAACAGTTTACACGTAGTTGTGAACTGTGGAGAAGCACTGTTAAAAAACAATACTTACTGGCCACTTGTCAGTGATTTTATTAATATCCTTTCACATCAAAGTGTGGCTAAGAAATTTTTGGAAGATCACAGGCTATTAGTGACGTGGATGAACTTTGTATCATTTTTTCAAGGTGCGTGATGCTTTCATTGACTATACGAATTACCTTTGACTAGAGTTAAGCAGTTTGACAAAACATTTTAAAGGGTATGCAAGGTTTTTATAATGACTGTTTTTCAGAAATTCAGTTACAGACATTGAAATTGGCTACAGTTAATTGTAGTTTGTATTTTTGCACTTGAGTTTTGGGGGAAAGGGCAGTAGCGTTAAAGAAACACTGAATATTTCTGAAAAAGAAAACCACAAATTAATGATGGTTTCATTAAAAACTCTGACTTCAAGTTGCTTTAAAAATTCCTTTAGAAAATCTGAATTCCTTCAGAAAATCATTTGAGAATTGTTGGGATGCCTTATGAGGAGATATACTTTTACATTTGGGAAGTTAAATCCAAATGAATATGTAAAATGCCATCACACTTTTGACAGTAAGGCTCACTGAATTTAATGAGGGTTACTTAGCAGAAATATATACATTTGTATTGGTTGTATGCTTAGGAAATTGGGAAGGCTATGCATTTGTGTAATCCAGCCTCATAGGTACATCTTAGATAAATGCTCCATTGGCAGTGATCTCATCTTCATCTTGCTGAAAACTAGCCTCCTCCCTTTCAAATTTTTGATTTTCAATTTAGCTTATATAGCAGGGTGAAATATTGAGACAGAGAATTTTGAAACTGCTGTTTATATGTTTTATTTAGTTCTTCAATTATTGGGTATATTGCAACTATTCTAAGATCAGTTTGCAGTGAATATAGGCTGTAATAAATTTTACAAAACGAAAGGGGTTAAGTTTCTAATTTTCACTTTCTGCTGGGCTGTCTTCTGCTTGGCCATTATCTTTTGCTTTTGATGCTTGTCCCATGCAAGCTTGACAGCCAACTTTGTTGCTTAATGCATCACTAAACTTTTTTTTATAAAAAGCTTTAAAACGTTCCTATTTATAACAGTAGGTTTATTGGATAGTGTGAAAAAATGCAGTATTATTTATAGTTAAAATGTACAATGTTGTCTCAATCTTTTAAGGCATGAATTTAAATAAAAGAGAACTTAATGAACATGTTGAGTTTGAATCCCAGACGTATTATGCTGCTTTTGCTGCTGAACTTGAGGCCTGTGCCCAACCAATGTGGGGCCTACTATCACACTGCAAAGTCAGGGTAAGTTGAACTATATTTTTTTTCTCTTGTGGTTCTTCAGTGATTGAATATTTTAAAAAGCAGTATGCAGTTCTATCAAATCAAACACCATCCTGGGTTAGCTAATCTGTTGTGTCTTGTGATCCATCCATAAGATACAGTACAACCATAAAAAATTCAAGTCAAGAATAGAGAGAATATAATTTCTGGGAATATTGACTAAACCCCAATATGTGTGAAGGACAAGTTTATAGCTTTCTTGAATAATGCATAACTTTGTTTCTTATTTTTCCTTAAGTCTGCTATATTTGCTTGCTTGCTTCCTTCCTTATTTCCAATATTGGAAATGACCTTTCCTTTAAATGCAAATACTCTTTCTGTTCATGGAAGGAATTGAGAGAGAGGGGGAGGTGACTTTTTCCACTTTACCCTTTTCATGTGAAGCCCTTCTCCCTATCATCTCCAATAGTGTACAGAGGATCCTTTCAGGGCAACCTTTCCAGCAACTATTAGGTAAGAACTAGTAGGCAAAAATCACCTGTCTGTTTCTTCTCATGAGTGGAGCTCTGTAAATCCAAGGCACTTTATAAAAAAGGAAAAGAAACATGGAAGTTGCAGCCCTTCAATTTACCTTACTATGTTTTTGAAGTGCTACAAGCCTTTGTTTTTTTCAGTCTGTGCAACATTTGTAATTCACTTCAGGAGACGCAAGAGTACACGCAAAACGTTGTTAGATACTGCCTAGAAGCACTTCAGGATTGGTTTGATGCAATCAACTTTGTAGATGAGGTGGGTATATCCTGTGTATTTAATTTGATATCGAGTACTAAAATCTTTACTAATGAATTGGTAGTATATTCCTACCAATTTTGGAATTAAAACGTTCTGATTTTTTTTTCTTTAGCCTGCATTTCTTGGTTACCAATTCTCATTTGATATTTCTTCTGCACAATTCAGAATTCTCTGCTCTAACAAATATGTGAACATTTCTGAAATTCATTGGGATATGCTGAAATTTAGATAACTTTATTGTCAATATTCAATCAAAAACTTGAATAATCAAGGTTTCAATAAACCAGTAATATGCTTGTAATTGGAATTGATGGGCTGTATATGCAGGGAGCAGTTACATGTTGCAGGCCATAGACCCTTTTAGAGGATGCTGTGAATCCTATTGCATGACTTATAAAGGATTTTTGTCAGTGAAATGACAAATACAGTTGCAAAGCTTTTTTTCAAGTACTTTCAAGGCATTTATTCTCACTTGCCCACTGTCAGCTTTTCCCTTCAAATTCATTTTTACATTACTAACTACTTCAAAGGTATGTTTATTTTATGGGCTGTATGTTTTAGAAAACACTGATAAGAGGGGACTCAGTAGCCTTGATCTGGAGGCCAAAATTGAGTTCTCATTGTGAATGTTTCCTCAAGTTCAGAAAACTACTGTCATAAATTAGAATTTCTTATTAACAGTCTAATGTCCTTTTGTTGCAGCCTACTCCTAATCAGGTTACGTTTCATCTCCCATTGCATCGCTACTATGCTATGTTTCTGAGTAAGGTAGGTAAATCATTTTTGCAAGGTAAAAATGGGCATTCTGCAGGTAGATGTGTGGTTTATATCAGGATAAAATATGCACTTATTTTATTTATAGGCTGTTAAATGTCAGGAGCTAGATTTAGATTCACTTCTTCCAGACCAGGAGATGTTGATGAAACTAATGGTTCATCCACTTCAAATTCAGGTAAATCTTTTTTTTCTCAGCATACTATAATATAAACTTTTGAGAGATATCAAAAAGTGATTCAAAGACAGAATATTCAGTTTGCCTTGGTTTCACTGGAAGCAATTGATTGACAGCTGAATGTGTGCCTCCTGCTGTCCAACTTGTATGCATTTATCAAGTTCTTGCCATTTACGTCAAGAGCTCTTTCAGTTACCTATATTTCAATTTATATTTCTGAGTGTTCATAAGGACCATAGTAAAGAAAGACAAATTGCTAGGTAATATTAATGTGAGTTTACAAAAAACAAAAGCAAGAGAAAGTGTTCAAAGGAACTTAAATAGAAAAAAATAGGCAAGGTACTGTTAGGACTACTGCTTTATTATTTTATTGAATTCTTAAATTTTCTCTAGGCCCTGAAGATGGCAATGATTGCACTAAAGCATAAGAAGATCCTTAGATATGTTGCAACTTTCTTGAGATAGTATTGTTATAATATGTGGTAATAAAGCAGAACAAATATTTTGATAGGTTGAGGTTTAACAGTGCTGCAGAAAGCTAACACATCGGCCCTGATGGAAGTCTGCTGCAAAAGCTCTATAACTCAATACAAAAATGTGTTCTCAGAAAATAAAAATAATATGCACAGTCAATAGATTACATGTTTATCTGGAGTAAGAGAATATGAAAATGAATATGTGGATTTTTCCCCCTTTTTTCCCTCTTTCGATAGGCAAGCCTTTCTGAAATTCATAGTAATATGTGGGTAAGGAATGGCCTGCAGATTAAAGGACAAGCCATGACATATGTGCAGTCCCACTTCTGTAATTCTATGATTGATCCTGACATTTATCTGTTACAGGTAAATCAATGCTCTCTTTGACTGCATCATTCAGTGTTAGTACCAGTTGAACATGATAACATATATATGTGCTTTATCTTTTAAGGTTTGTGCTTCTCGACTTGACCCAGATTATTTTATTTCCTCAGTTTTTGAAAGGTAGGATGCTATTATTTTATATAAAAATAATTTTATTATGCTTGTATACCACCAAACCAAAAAAGCCAGTTTACAACAATCCAGTAAAAATGTCCACAGTATATATTCTTAAAATTGTAAGCAATATAGAGGTGAAGAGAGAGAAACTACCTAGGCTGACTGAAGCATTTCAAAATAGAGCATTCCCTGTGTGCTGCTTAGATGGGCTTTCTCTAGCTCATCCAAATTTGGGCCAAACTCTTTACTCGCTCAGGAAGGCACATGATTAAAGTCTGCTTCTGTATTAACTTTGCCAGGCTTCTCCTTGCAGCTCTTTTCCTGCTTTCATCCAGGATGAGTCTTAGCTGTTTTCTTATCCTGTATTTCTATATCTTACTCTTACTCTTCTCACTCAAGCTTGGACAGAATGGTGAAGAAGTTTCATTATTTGGAGCAGCCTTTCGCAAGGTTTTGTCCCGGAGGAACCCTTGAAATAAGTTTTCAGGTTTCAGGAAACCCCTACAGATAAAATTATTGTATTTGCAGCTCAGGGTACCTAAGTGTGATCAGAAAATTGTAGAAATAATTCAATAATACAATCTTAGCAACAAAAGCAAAGCATCAAGCTGGCAGCCGAGTCGTGGAGCATTAAAATTCCCACCACAGTGGGTGCTAGCATTGCATGGTGCATGGTTAAAAAAATGGTGTTTATTTCTCTCATAGAACTCTAAGGTTCCATGAAACCCCAATTGAGAAAGGCTGATTTACAGAGATAGATTCTTCATTAATACAAGGAAAGGCTTTTAAGCCTTTCAAAGAAAATAATTCATCTAGAGGCCTATCTAGAAAGGACATTTCTATAACACTGAAAAGAATTCTAAAGATTCAGAAAGCTATTTCTCCACTGAAAAGAAAACAAATGGGAGTATCTCATACTGGGATTGATTACATCCTTTTTCAGCCTTCTACTAGGGACCCAGCCCTGTGCTTGACTGCTCCAGTGGCTTCTATTTATTTTCAAACTCATGTAATCAGCAGTCAGCTCGCTCATTCAAGACTTCCTTTCTGCAGTGCTCAGGAACTCATTTACCAGACATTCTGGGGGTAGCAAAGAAAGAATGCATCCAGGGACTCCCATTTTATGGAACCTCCCACAATCAAAACAACAACCAATGCCATCCTCAAGAAGAAACTTCTTAAGCCAAAAAATTCTTAAATTATTTCATGTCACTGCATATTCAACTAAGGTTGTAGCCACCTCATAAGCATTTTTCACAAATCCACCCTCACTGGAGTTTTGCAGGGCTGTAATTTGGTCTAACCCTTTAACACCTGCCAAGCATTACAAATTGGATCTTCATTTCTCTAAAGGATCTTCTGGATGTCAATCTTTGCAACTGATCCTTTCTCCCATATAGACTCAATAGGTTGTTTACAGCCTATCAGAATAGGCTACATTCCTATATAAGTTCTCAATACAGGTAGTCCTTGCTTAGTGACCACAATTGGGACTGGCAGCCCTGTTGCTAAATGCCACAGTCGCTAAGTGGAAAATCATGTGACCGCCACAGATTACGTCATCTCCCATTAGATTTTTAAGCAAATCACTGTGGTTATTAAGTGAGACATCACGTGACCATGACTTGTGATTTTACTTCTGTGTTCTCCATTAACTTTGCTTGTCACAAGCTGGTTGGAAGCATGCAAATGGCGATCACATGACCATGGGATGCTGCAACGGTTGTAAATGTGCGCTGGTTATGAAATGCCCAAGTGGCAATTGCATGATTGGGATGTTGCAGTGGTCATAAATGCAAAGATTGGTCACAAAGCTGTTTTTTTACACTATCGTAACTTCAAATGGTTGCTAAACAAGGTAAGCGACGACTACCTGTATTCCATACTTTGATGCCACTGGTATCTTTTGGTGTCTTTTGGTATGATGTGAAGCAGGTATCCCAAAACACAAGTTATTTTGATTGACAATTTCCTTTAGCAGTATAGCCAACTTCTTCTAGGCTGAATTTTTTTTTGCTCAGGATACCTTCATAGAGGTTTCTCTGAAGTTTCTTGCTCTTGGCAATGGAGAAAAACTAAAGAGAGAAACCCTGCAAGAGTTGAATATATCAGCAGACTTTAGTTATATGATGTTCCTGCCTTCCTAGATGTTAGGAATGCTTAGCCCTACTTGCTCTCTTCACACTGAACTGGAAGAAACCTTCAAGGTATTTGAGCAGAGTTCCGTTTTCTGTAGAGAGTGTTGCAATGGGGGAAAGTACGAGACCCGGTCCAAGAAGCTCTAGAAAAAGATAGCATAAAATGGATGCTGATACTGAAAGCTTGCAAATTAAGCTAATAATGTTGCTTAGGGCCTAAATCTTTATAGAATGTCCAGACTATGTTATATGATAATGTGAGGATATTACAGCAGATCTCTAACTTTCTACAGGTTCATAACCGTCTCACGTTGTTAGCATTAGTAGATTTTTGGATCACATGAACTCCAAGGTTTCTTCTAACCCTTACATTCTATAATTCTGAATTTGTTTTTGTTTTCTTTTTTACCTCTATAGGTTCAAAGTGGTTGATCTCTTAACAATGGCTTCACAGCATCAGAATACAGTACTAGATTCGGAGCATGAGAGGTCAATGTTAGAAGGCGCTTTAACATTTCTTGTCATTCTTTTAAGTCTACGTTTACATTTAGGTGAACTTGCAGTCTTTCTTCTATGCTTTAGTTTTATTAGTTTATGTATATAGATGTGTAGAACACAGACCTTAATGAATTTTGAGTTATTTGGGGAGTAGATAATTGGTAGAAACAACAGCAACAAACAATTTATTTTCTCATTTCTTGCAACCTTGGTCAAATACACGCTCTTAATTTTTTACAAATGATTGCTATATTAAAGACGTAGTTAAAGGCATATAATTCTTAATTTGAGTACCACAATGGCAGAGGTACTGTTCGGTTACATTTCATGGGGCTTGTTTCCAAGTAAATGCATGTAGCAGTATAGTTTTGATCCTTAATCTTTTACTACCTGCTGTCCCTAAAGACTTAAGAAACCGGAGGATTGTAGGAAAATGCTTTATACTAGGTCAGATCAGTATTCCATTTAATTCAGTACAGGTAATCCTCACTTAACAGCCATTCGTTCGGTGATCATTTGAATTTACAATGGTTCTAAATGAAGGGACTTAGGGCCTGTGCCAAAAGTTATGGGAGTTGCAGTGCCCCCGCGGTCACGGGATCGCGATTGGGGCCTTTAGCAATCGGTTCGCACTTACGATCGGCTGCTAAGTGCCCCATGGACATGTGATCGCCATTTACAATCTTCCCTGCTGGCTTCCCCAGGAAGTCAATGGGGAAGCTGGCAGGGAAGGTTGCAAGCTGCTGCCACCTGGCGAGAGGATTCCCCCTCATCTCGGGGGACTGGCTGAAAAAGCACCATGCCAAAATCCTGCTTGGATTTCCACACAGAGCTTTTTCAGCCAGCCCCCAGTGATGTCTCTGGAGGCTGGTTGAAAAAGCTCCATGCTGAAATCCAAGCAGGATTTGGGCCAGAGCTTTTTCGGCCAGCCCCCAGAGATTTTGGCATGGAAGCTCTGGGGGCTGGCTGGAAAAGTCTCTGTGCCAAAATCCAAGCAGGATTTTAGCATGGAGCTTTTTCAGCCAGCCCCCAGAGATTTTGGCATGGAAGCTCTGGGGGCTGGCTGGAAAAGTCTCTGTGCCAAAATCCAAGCAGGATTTTAGCATGGAGCTTTTTCAGCCAGCCCCCAGAGATTTTGGCATGGAAGCTCTGGGGGCTGGCTGGAAAAGTCTCTGTGCCAAAATCCAAGCAGGATTTTAGCATGGAGCTTTTTCAGCCAGCCCCCAGAGATTTTGGCATGGAAGCTCTGGGGGCTGGCTGGAAAAGTCTCTGTGCCAAAATCCAAGCAGGATTTTAGCATGGAGCTTTTTCAGCCAGCCTCCAGAGACGAGGGTTAGTCCCTTTGGCAGCGGCAATGGCTTGCCCTGCTGGCTGACTTCATTGTGGAAAGCCGGCAGGAAGTTGTCTCGCCTAACGACCCACAATTCTCGCTTAACGATGGCAGCAGGAGTGCTGGGATTGCGGTTGCTATGTGAAGCGGTTGTGTGATGATTTGCTTAATGACCGCATTGCTTAGTGACCTAAATTCTGGTCCCAGTTGTGGTCGTTAAGCAAGGACTACCTGTATTTTCAACAGTGTATGTCAAGGATAAAGATAGAAGTATTTCTTGACCCTGCTTGGATACCCTGGAAAAATAATCTGATTTTCCTGGCTTAGTTTGTTTTGATACTCATTGAGGCTTTTGAAGTCTTGAGGATGCCTGCAACAAAACAGCTAACTTCTGTTTCATCTCTGGAAGAGAAGATGTTAGTATATTTTACTAATAGGTGGATTAATGTTCCAGTTACCTCTGCCATCTACAACAGAATTAGCCAGATCCAGTGTTTCTTTCTGGTTTGGGGGGATGGGGTCTTTGCTGCCATTGTGCTCCACTCTCCAGGCCTCAGCCAGATTGTAGAGCTAGGGTTACCTCTGCTCTATCCCAATTCCAATCTGTAGAAAAAATAGATTGGCTTTTCTTGCTATACTTATTTCCTCAGAGTCTCATTGGAAATATGATTTGTAATGGCAAGTGGTTAACATTTGCTCTTTACTTGAGCTTTTATCTTTCCTTGTCTTTATTAAGGAAATCATTTGTTTCTGATGATTTAGCTAAATTCCGGCTTGTGTTGGAGCAGATGATCAGATGAATTTGCATTTTATTCTTATATTGTATATGCATTGTATTTGTAAAAGCTCTTTTGAAGTATTCCAATTTGCGTGGAGATTTGTTGTTAGTAGATAAGTTAATCATTTGGGCATTTGATCAATTTATTTATTTATTCAATTTATATGACCACCCATCTCAAACATATGACTCTGGGCTGATAACAGAGAATGAAAGCAGTAAAAAACATCATAACAAAAAGAATAAATATTAAATATAGCAGCTAAGATAAATCTAACCAGCACAATCAGTATAACTATGATATAGGCTGAAACACAAGGCCCCAGGCTTGGTAACAGTTGCTTTTTGAGTTTCTATTTTTTTAAAAATACTGTTGGTAAGTTTTTTTTAAGTCAATAATTATATAATGTATTAACTATAAGATGCCCTAATAACTTGAAATTAAAGTGATTATTTTCCACTGGCTGCTTAGCTTCTTTTTCCCCCTTTTTCAGAATGCTAGCATCAGATTGAGGAGAATGTTATTTTACTATGTATTGTATATTTTATTTATTATGTATGTTATCCAAAAATAACCCTAAATGAATCCATGGGACTTACTTCTAATTAAGTCCTCTTACATAGGACTGGGCTTGAGTGGTTAAACATTAACATCATACACATATGTTATATTAAAGTTTGGATTTATTCATTATACTTTAAACATGGGAAGCATTCCTTAAGAGTTTCATTCTTTTTTTTTTCAACTCCCCCACCACTCTGTGCCAGGAAATAAACGGATGGATGGATGGATGGATGGATGGATGGATGGATGGATGGATGGATAGGCCATTTTAAACAGGTTTATTATTTAGTTGGAAAGTTGTATATCAAACACCAATCTTATACACATATGTTATATTAAAGTTTGGATTTATTCATTATACTTTAAACATGGGAAGCATTCCTTAAGAGTTTCATTCTTTTTTTTTTCAACTCCCCCACCACTCTGTGCCAGGAAATAAACGGATGGATGGATGGATGGATGGATGGATGGATGGATGGATGGATGGATAGGCCATTTTAAACAGGTTTATTATTTAGTTGGAAAGTTGTATATCAAACACCAATCTTTTGTATTGTCGAAGGCTTTCACGGCCGGCATACAATGGCTGGTATG